GTCCATGGGGAAGTGGAAAAGAATCTTTCCTCCGTAAGCCATGCGTGTCGTATGAGGCGACTAAAATGCCGGGAGCAATGGGTTAGTAACCCCTTCTCCTGTAGACATTTACTAAAAAAGAGAAGAAAAACTTTATAAAACTGGGATGCTTAAATGTGCGTGGATGTAGTGCGGATGACAAGAAACAGATGATTGCTGATGTTATGAATGAAAAGAAGTTGGATGTCCTGGCCCTAAGCGAAACAAAGCTGAAGGGGGTAGGGGAGTTTCAGTGGGGGGAAATAAATGGGATTAAATCTGGAGTATCTGAGAGAGTTAGAGCAAAGGAAGGGGTAGCAGTAATGTTAAATGATCAGTTATGGAAGGAGAAAAGAGAATATGAATGTGTAAATTCAAGAATTATGTGGATTAAAGTAAAGGTTGGATGCGAAAAGTGGATCATAATAAGCGTGTATGCACCTGGAGAAGAGAGGAACGTAGAGGAGAGAGAGAGATTTTGGGAGATGTTAAGTGAATGTATAGGAGCCTTTGAACCAAGTGAGAGAGTAATTGTGGTAGGGGACCTGAATGCTAAAGTAGGAGAAACTTTTAGAGAGGGTGTGGTAGGTAAGTTTGGGGTGCCAGGTGTAAATGATAATGGGAGCCCTTTGATTGAACTTTGTATAGAAAGGGGTTTAGTTATAGGTAATACATATTTTAAGAAAAAGAGGATAAATAAGTATACAAGATACGATGTAGGGCGAAATGACAGTAGTTTGTTGGATTATGTATTGGTAGATAAAAGACTGTTGAGTAGACCTCAGGATGTACATGTTTATAGAGGGGCCACAGATATATCAGATCACTTTCTAGTTGTACACAGAGTAAAAGGTAGATGGGATACAAGGAGAATAGAAGAATCAGGGAAGAGAGAGGTGAAGGTTTATAAACTAAAAGAGGAGGCAGTTAGGGTAAGATATAAACAGCTATTGGAGGATAGATGGGCTAATGAGAGCATAGGCAATGGGGTCGAAGAGGTATGGGGTAGGTTTAAAAATGTAGTGTTAGAGTGTTCAGCAGAAGTTTGTGGTTACAGGAAAGTGGGTGCGGGAGGGAAGAGGAGCGATTGGTGGAATGATGATGTAAAGAGAGTAGTAAGCGAGAAAAAGTTAGCATATGAGAAGTTTTTACAAAGTAGAAGTGATGCAAGGAGGGAAGAGTATATGGAGAAAAAGAGAGAGGTTAAGAGAGTGGTGAAGCAATGTAAAAAGAGAGCAAATGAGAGAGTGGGTGAGATGTTATCAACAAATTTTGTTGAAAATAAGAAAAAGTTTTGGAGTGAGATTAACAAGTTAAGAAAGCCTAGAGAACAAATGGATTTGTCAGTTAAAAATAGGAGAAGAGTTATTAAATGGAGAGTTAGAGGTATTGGGAAGATGGAGGGAATATTTTGAGGAATTGTTAAATGTTGATGAAGATAGGGAAGCTGTGATTTCGTGTATAGGACAAGGAGGAATAACGTCTTGTAGAAGTGAGGAAGAGCCAGTTGTGAGTGTGGGGGAAGTTCGTGAGGCAGTAGGTAAAATGAAAGGGGGTAAGGCAGCCGGGATTGACGGGATAAAGATAGAAATGTTAAAAGCAGGTGGGGATATAGTTTTGGAGTGGTTGGTGCAATTATTTAATAAATGTATGGAAGACGTAAGGTATCTAGGGATTGGCAGAGAGCATGCATAGTTCCTTTGTATAAATGCAAACGGGATAAAAGAGAGTGCAAAAATTATAGGGGGATAAGTCCAGCAGGCATGCGTGAGCGTGTTTGATAGGAGTAAATGGAGACAAATGGTTTTTAATACTTGACGTGCTGTTGGAGTGTGAGCAAAGTAACATTTATGAAGGGGTTCAGGGAAACCGGCAGGCCGGACTTGAGTCCTGGAGATGGGAAGTACAGTGCCTGCACTCTGAAGGAGGGGTGTTAATGTTGCAGTTTAAAAACTGTAGTGTAATGCACCCTTCTGGAAAGACAGTGATGGAGTGAATGATGGTGAAAGTTTTTTTTTTCGGGCCACCCTGCCTTGGTGGGAATCGGCCAGTGTGATAATAAAAAAAAAAAAATGTGGCGATATTATTTATGAAATTATTACAATATTGCATAACAGTAAATCTTCTATGTTTTTGTTTGAAGAAAAATTCATTATAAGAATAAAAAATCAAGATGGAATTCATTTGTAGAGCCTGAAAATGTAACTAATGAACAGAGGATATGTTAGTTTAGTAACAGGAATGCCTGCATTGTTTATTCTGGAGCCTATTTTGAAATTGGGATATTTTGAACTTTGCATTACACTGGCCAAATTACCAATTTCCGATCACGATTTTGTAGTTGAAATAGTTGACTTGGCGATTTCTTGTGCTCAAATCAACAGAATAAAGTAATACTATTGAAATAGCTAAGAATTTGGTGAACTGGAATAATGTAACTGGCGTAAAATGGTAGTCAAAGTCGGCAAAACTGCCGAAGCGTAAATATCGCTGACACGTCAAAATTCTTGAGAGCATAATTTTGCCAATTTTCCATCAAATTTTGTACTTTTTGTTTTATTACCTTCATAAAAAGATTCTCTACCATTTCATAAGAAAAAAATAATTATTTTTTTGAAAACTCTTGGACCCTGGTGCACACTGAAATTTGGCCTCTGGACCCTGAAGGGGTTAAACGAGGGGTTTGGGATATTGGCATTTTGGAGGGACATATTGTGCATGTTTATACGTATATGCTGTTGTGTTCTGCGCACCTCTGCAAAAACAGTGATTATGTACGAGTGAGGTGAAAGTGTTGAATGACGAAAGTATTTTCTTTTTGGGGATTTTTTTCATTTTTGGGTCACCCTGCCTTGGTGGGAATCGGCCAGCTTGTTTAAAAAAAAAATTACAATGGAGACAAAGGCCTCTGGGAAGAAAGAACAGAGGAGAACACCAACAAGTGTCGGACAAGACACACAACTGAGGAGGTGAAGAAGCTGCTAAGGGACCATGCTACCTCAAAGGCAATGGGACTGGACAACATCTGCCCGTGGGTCCATAGAGGAAGCAGAAATGCTGTGTGCCACTAACCACAATCTTCAACACATCCCTTGAAACTGGGCAACTACCTGAGGTATGGAAGACGGCAAATATAGTTACCAATTTTAAAAAAAGGAGGCAGAAAAGAGACACTAAACTACAGACCAGTGTCACTCACATGTATAATATGCAAAGTCATGGAGAAGATTATCAGGAGAGTGGTGGAGCACCTGGAACAGAACAAGAGTATAAATGCCAACCAGCACGGATTCATGAAAAGCAAATCCTGTGTCACAAACCTTCTGGAATTTTATGATAAAGTAACAGAAGACAAGAGAGGTGGGTTGATTTGCATTTTCTTGGATTGCAAGAAGGCCTTTGACACAGTTCATTATGAAAGATTAGTGCAGAAGCTAGAGGATCAGGCATGTATAACAGGAAGGGCACAGCAATGGATCAGAGAATACCCGACAGGGAGGCAACAATAAGTCATGGTACGTGGACACCTGCGATGAGCGGGGTCCAACAAGGGTCGGCCCTAGGACCAGTGCTATTTCTTGGCACATGCGAATGACATGATGGAAAGGATAGATTCAGAAGTATCCCTGTTCGCAAATGTGAAGTTAATGAGGAAAATTAAATTAGATGACGATCAGGCACAACTTCAAAGAGACCTGGACAGGCTGGACACCTGGTCCAGCAACTGGGTTCTCGAATTTAGCCCCACCAGATGCAAAGTCGTGAAGATCGGAGAAGGGCAAAGACCACAGACAGTATAGGCTAGGTGGCCAAAACTTGCAAACCTTGCTCAAGGAGAAAGATCTCGGGGAGAGTATAATACCAAGCACATCTCCGGAAGCATGCAACCAGATAGCTGCTGCAGCCTATGGGTGCTTGGCAAACCTGAGAATAGCTTCCTGATACCTTAGTAAGGAATAGTTCAAGACACTGTACACTGTACGTCAGGCCCACACTGGAGTATGCAGCACCAGTTTGGAAACCACACTCGATCAAGAGCATCAAGAAATTAGAGAAAGTGCAAAGGTTAGCGAAAAGGTTATTTCCAGAGGTAAGGGGAATGTCCTATAAAGAAAGGTTAAGGGAAATTGGCCTGACGACACTGGAGAACAGGAGGGTTAGGGGAGACATGATAACGACATACAAAATACTGCGTGGAATAGACGAGGTGGACAGAAACAGGATGTTCCAGAGAGGAGACAGAAACAAAGGGTTACCCTTGGAAGTTTAAGACTCGGATAAGTCAAAGGGATGTTAAGAAGTATTTCTTCAGCCATAGTCAGGAAGTGGAACAGCCTAGCAAGTGAGATAGTGGAGGCAGGAACCATACATAGCTTTAAAACGAGGTGTGATAAAGCTCATGTAGCAGGGAGGGAGAGAGGACCTAGTAGCGTTCAGTGAAGAGGCAGGGCCAGGAGCCGAGTCTCGACCCCTGCAACCACAATTAGGCGAGTACACAAACATGCATACAAACACATGCATACACACACACACACACACACACACACACACACACACACACGACAATAAGGGGGTCTGCAAAATTTAATTTTAACATTAACATGTGGAAACAGGCAAAACTGGCAATAAACAACTGAGCTGAAAATTTAGTCTACTCCACTACACACTGATGAATGAAGAACATTCTTCATTCTAAAGCATTAAAGCTAAAGTTTATGCTGTACATGGTGGCCTGGTGGTTAACGCTCTCGCTTCACACGGTGAGGGCCTGGGTTCGATTCCCAGCCAGAGTAGAAACATTGGACGTGTTTCTTTCCACCTGTTGTCTATGTTCCCCATCAGTAAAATGGGTACCTGGGTGTTAGTCGACTGGTGTGGGTCGCATCCTGGGACACTGACCTAAGGCCGCGGGGGCGTTGACCCCCGGAACTCTCTCCAGGTAATCTCAGCAACGAACTTGAATGAAGCCAAAGAATACTAACCTTTCATTAGGAGAATGAACAGACCACCCAAAATCTGCAATTTTCAGCATACCATTCCCAGCAATCAAAATATTTTCGGGTTTTATATCTCTATGAATCACCTTTCTTGAGTGGCAGTATTTAAGTGCACTACAGAGCTGCAAAAGAGAAAATTAAAAAATTATATTACATTTTTCTTTACCTTAATGGACATTATCAAGGCATGGTGACCCTAAGGAAATTTATTTATCATTCATTCACTGTCTTGCCAAAGATGTGCTGACATCACATTCAAATTACCCTTCAAATGCAATAGCCTATCCCTCAGAAGGCAAGAACTGCCCTCCCCACCACATGGAATCAAGCCTGGCTAACAAGTTTCCCAGAATCCTTTCATAAATGTTACTTTGGTCATACCCCTAAAAAAAAAAAAAAAAAAACCTCCATTCACTAACCCTCACAAGTCTGCTGTCCAGCCTTTAGAATTCCAACTATTCCTGGGATGAGCATTCTTCCTACCTTTAAAACCAGATTTGTGTACCCTCCATCATCCTATCCCTCTGCATCATCTTTGCATGCCCAAACAACTCAATTTCCTCCTGAGCCCTCTGAATTATACCTTCAGTGCCCACAATGTATGCTCCCATGCTATACATACTATTTACACCACACACTGCTCTCAAACAAGACATCACAGACATGAGCCACTGCCTCACTGCAAAGTTCAAATCCTCTTGTCTCATACTCATACAAGGGTTGGAGCTACCATACATTTGTCTTCCCTACACAAATGACTTCTTCCAAGACGCCTCACCACTCCATCTGTTGACATGTCCACTCCCAAATGGTTCAATGCATGAGCTAACACTGCTTTTTACCAAGTTCACTTCTAATTTCATTCTTTTACACACACACACTCACTCCCACCCACTCTCACCCACTTTTGTAACTTTTCATAATCACTCAAAAGAGTCACTGGCAAAGAGCAACTGTTAAGTCCCACTTACTATCAGATTATTTGTATTTTAATCTTACACAACTCCAAAATTAAATTTCTTTTATAACCCCTTCTATAAATAAATTTAATCACGGTGGTGATAACACATCCAATATCAAATGCCTAATTTTACTGAAAAATGATCCTACATACATATAAAACATCTACTCTAAAAACTTGTAACCTGAACCTTACCATCGTAAGAGCTCTCGTGTACTTTTAATAGCATTATTACCTATTACATGCATTTGTAACAAATACCACATTGGTTCCTTATCTCCCTACAAAATGCCTTTCCAAAATTCGTAAATGCACCATTTCCATACTTTCTCTAAAGTACTGTTCATTTACATGCTTCACTACATATTTTATCTATGCATTCCCTACCCTTCCTAAATCACTATCCTGATGTAATCTTACTTTGTCTACTCCCCACCATTTTCAATAATTCTACCATATTTTACCCAGCAAAGTATACTCAACAGGCTTATTTCCTTGCAATTCTTACACTTGTCCCTTTATCAAGTCATAACCTAATAGCTCAACAATGAGGAAAATATTAGAATTAAGACAAGGTACCACCAAACAACTTTTTTAATTTACCAAGTCACTTTAAGTGCATGTTGGAAGAGTTAGTTGTAGCTACAGTTAGTAAGAGGTATGTGGGGGTACAAGGTGAATGTCATCAGTAAGAGTAGTGGAAGTTATTGAATTAAAGAAGTACCTTAGGGTAAGATTAAGAATTTCCAGGCTAGTGAGCATATAGGTAATAAAAAGGCCAGAGGCATGGGGTAGGTTAAGAAATAACTGAAGAGGCGGAGAGACACTTGTTGGAGTGGATAAACTAAAAACAATAACCAGGAGATAGCGTCTCTCAATCCTAGGTAGTAGGTTGGTAAACAGCAACCGCCCAGGGAGGTACTACCGTCCTGCCAAGCGAGTGTACAACGAAAACCTGTAATTGTTTTACATGATGGTAGGATTGCTGGTGTCTTGTCTGTCTCAAACATGCAAGATTTCAGGTATGTCTTGCTACTTCTAGTTGCACTTAGGTCACACTACACATACATGTACAAGCATACATATACACACCCCTCTGGGTATTCTTCTAATTTCTTTCTAGTTCTTGTTTATTTCCTCGTCTCCATGGGGAAGTGGAACAGAATTCTTCCTCCGTAAGCCATGCGTGTTGTAAGAGGCGACTAAAATGCCAGGAGCAAGGGGCTAATAACCCCTTCTCCCATATAAATTACTAAATTTAAAAGAGAAACTTTCGTTTTTCTTTTTGGGCCACCCTGCCTTGGTGGGATATGGCCAGTGTGTTGAAAGTGTCTCAGTCCGTATGTGAAAAGGCAAGGCAGTTGCATGATGAACCCATTAAGAAAATGCCTCCAAATAGTGCTGCTATTGATGAATTTAAGGCCAGCAAAGGCTGGTTTGAGAGATTTAAGAATTGTAGTGCATACACAGTGTGATAAAGCATGGTGAGGCTGCCAATTCAGACAAATAAGCTGCTGAAAAGTATGTGCAGGAATTTATGGAGTACAGACACTGAAAACCCCCAACAAGTGTTTGTGACAAAATAGGCCTGTTTTGGAAGAAAATGCCAAACAGGACCTACATTACTCAGGAGGAAAAGGCACTCCCAGGACACAAGCCTATGAAGGACTAACACTAATGTTGTGTAGTAATGCTAGTGGGGATTATAAAGTGAAGCATTTAATCATTTATCACTATGAAACTCCCAGTGTGTTCAAGAAAAACAATATCAAGGGTAATCTGTGTGTGATGTTGAGAGCAAACAGTAAGGCATGGGTCACCAGGGAAATTTTCCTGGAATGGTTTTATAGTGTTTGGCCCCCTGAAAAATTACCTCCTGGAGAAGAAATAGTCACCCAAGTGCCTCCTGGTAATGGACAATGCTCCTGCTCATCCTCACGACTTGCAAAAGCAAATTGCGGGGGAGTTGAGCTTCATCAAAGTGAAGTTCTTGTCTCCTAATACCACTCCTCTCCTGCAGCCCAGGAACCAGCAGGTCATTTCAAATTTCAAAAAACTCTACACAAAAGCAGTTTCAAAAGTGCTTTGAAGTGACCTCAGACACTCAATTGACCCTAAGAGTTTCGGAAAGATCACTTCAGCATCCTCAGTTGCATAAACCTTATAGGTAAGGCTTGGGAGGGAGTGACTTGCAGGACTTGAACTCTGCTTGGAAAAAACTGTGGCCACAATGTGTACAAGAGAGATTGAAGGGTTTGGGGCTAACCCTCAAGAGCCTATACCAGTTGTGGAATCTATTGTGTCACTGGGGAAGTCCATGGGGTTGGAGGATTGTGGCGAGGATGTGGAAGAGTTGGTGCAGAATGACAAAGAACTAACCACTGCAGAGCTGCAAGAGCTTGAGGTGCAACAGCAACAGATCATAGCTCAGGAATGTGCATCAGAGCAGGAGGAAGAGAGACAGGAATTTGCCTCCATCAAGGATTAAGGAAATGTTTACAAAGGTGCAAGCATTTATCGATGAATTTTATCCTGTCACAGCTGTTGAAAGTCATATTGGCAACATGTACAATGACTTGTGTCCCATTTTAGGGAAATCCTAAGGGCACGTTAGAAACAGCTCTCTGGACAGATATTTTGTGCGACAGGGGTCCAGCGACTCAAGCTGGTCCTAGTGACATTAGGAAATCAAGAAGGGAGGTAGCCCCAGCAAAGGACTTGGTACTTGAAGTCTTCATGGAAGGGGGATTTCCCTTCCAAACAACAAAATACCTGAATCTCCCCTGCTGCTGGCACATCAGTCAACAACTCCACAATAAAGGTAAGTGGCATTTAATTGTTTATTTTGCATGTACCATTGGTTTCTGTGTAGGGAAATGTATATCTCGTGTAAAAAAAAAAAATTTTTTTTTTTTTCAACAAGTTAGCTGTCTCCCACCAAGGCAGAGTGACCCAAAAACAAAGAAAATCCCCAAAAAGAAAATACTTTCATTATTCAACACTTTCACCTCGCTCACACAATCACTTTTTGCAGAGGTGCTTAGAATACAACAATTTAGTAGGTTGGTAGACAGCAACCGCCCAGGGAGGTACTACCGTCCTGCCAAGTGAGTGTAAAACGAAAGCCTGTAATTGTTTTACATGATGGTAGGATTGCTGGTGTCCTTTTTTCTGTCTCATGAACATGCAAAATTTCAGGTACGTCTTGCTACTTCTACTTACACTCAGGTCACACTACACATACATGTACAAGCGTATATATACATACCCCTCTGGGTTTTCTTCCATTTCCTTTCTAGTTCTTGTTTATTTCCTCTTATCTCCATGGGGAAGTGGAACAGAATTCTTCCTCCGCAGGCCATGCGTGTTGTAAGAGGCGACTAAAATGCCGGGACCAAGGGGCTAGTAACCCCTTCTCCTGTATATATTACTAAATTTGAAAGGAGAAACTTTGGTTTTTTTCTTTTGGGCCACCCCGCCTCGGTGGGATACAGCCGGTGTGTTGAAAGAAAGAAAGATATGTATAATGATACACAACACATCCCTCCAGACTGCCAATATCCCAAACCCCTCCTTTAATACTTTAGGGTGTCTGGAACGGATTAATTCTATTTCCATTATTTCTAATGGGGAAAATTAATTCGACTAAAGGCTAGCTCTCTGGAACAAACTAAAGCCATTGGTTGAGGGTCCACTATATATATATTATGCTTAACCCTTTCAGGGTTTCGGCCGTACTAGTAACGGCTTGCGCTCCAGGGTTTTTGACGTACTAGTACACAAATTCTAGTGCCTTCAAATCTCGCGGGAAAAGGCTGGTAGGCCTAGATGCAAGAGAATGGGCGTGTGGTTGGTGTGCGAGGTAGAAAAAAACCTGGGACCCAGTGGTGCATTATGGGAACGCCATTCTAGTAGACCTTGTTCACCATGCCTCGCGGTAAGAAGCTCCTCACTCCTCAGCGAATTGGGACACTTTTGTTCCCCAGTGACAGTTCTAATAGAGATGGAAGTGCCAGTGAAGATGAGTTTCAGGGTTTTGGCTTGGTTGTGACCGAAACTTAAGACCATAATATCGGTAATAGTGAGGAAAACCCAGACGACCCTCAGCCTTCCACCTCTGCTGCTGGGCCGTCTTGTTCACGTTCAGTTGTACCAGAATCA